ATAAATAAATAAATAAATAAATAAATAAATAAATAAATAAATAAATAAATAAATAAATAAATGCTAATCTGTTTTATGGATGTAATGGAAGCTTCCATATGGTAAAATACAAGCCACATATGTGGTGTTTTTTTTAAAAATAGCATTAATGAACTCAACTACCTAAGTAAGCTACTATAACCTCAGCTGGAGTTAGACTGGTAAATGCGCCTCCCATCCTGTATTGTATTGTAAATATAGTTAAAATACATTGTGGGTCTTTCAGAGGTAATGATTTTATGAATGGGTCAGATCTAGTATTATGCTGAAATTAATGGGGCTTGTTACTCATGAGTAACCTAGGTTTCATTGAAATGAGTGGGTCTTCTCTAGTTGGCACTAATTTTGAATTTAGAGCTGTGTCTCTAGTATTAGGGCAAAAGGTTGCTATCAGCTAGGAGAGATAATTACTGCCAACTATACCCATGTTTGGTTTTTACAGCTTTGAATTACGAATAAAAACATATTAGTCAGTTGTTGTAGAAGAGACAGTTGTGTTAGTCTGTGCAAGCATTATATATAGGTGAAAACAAAATTTAAAAAAAAGTTTTTAAAAAAGACAAGAACATGGTGGCAATTTGAAGACTAACATTTATTTTTTTTAATGCAAGCTTTCATGGACAAGTCTGATGAAGTGGACCTGCCAAGAAAGCTCACATTTAAAAATATGTAAGTTAGTCTTCAAAGTGCCACCACATTTTTGTCTTCTTTTACTGTTTAAATTACTCAGTGTGTTTTTTACATTATTAAAAAGAAACTTTATAACTTGAGATTCACAACTTCAGTTGTGTTAGTGTTTTATCAGTATCAACACAAAGCCTGTCATCTTAATGATCTCTGTGGATTTTCTTAGGATGGGCAGCTTCGGTGGAACAAGAGAACATGAATGCAAGATCTGTTGAAAAGTTGGCCCTGAAGCACACTACAGCTTTCCTAGGTCTTTAGTACTGATTCCTGAAAATGGTGGTACCAATTAAGCAGTTTTGACATGTATCCATAACAAGTGGATTTTAAAAACAGCTGTAAAACTGGAAGGATGATTATTTTTGGGACAGATACTAAAACCCTTGCTGCTTAAATAAAAGGTTTGGAGTCATGACACTACAGTATCATTAATGGTATATACTGCTGATGTTGACATGCTGTAAAAGCAACCACAAGCTGTTTCCAAATTATTGTCAATATGTCTGTTGTACTTACAATACTGATGCAAATTCTTATATGTAAGAATTGTTAAGTATGCAGTGATGCTGAAAGGGTGATTTTTTTGGTATGGTCTAATACTGATGCATCACTGAGGCCACTTGAGCTTGGGCAATACGAAAATACTGGATGGTAAATAAAAATAGTTCCTTGTAAATAAGGGGAAATAATAAATGGTTTTGAAAATAGATGTTAATCTTGTAAATAACCAAGGACTTTGTAAATAGGTGACCCTCCAGATGTTGCTAGCTCATAGCTCCCACCATTGACATGTCTAGGGCTGCTGGGAATTGTAGCCCATTCAACAACTGGAAGGCCACAGGTAACCCAGCCCATTGTAACATATTGTACCTCTTGTGTATATTTTGCAGTTAATACCTAACTACTACAAAGGGAATAAGCTTTACTAGAGTGTATTTATTTCAACATTTTGCTTTGTTAACCTTCAGTGGGAATGACTGTATCCTAACTGTGAAACATTATTAAATCTCATTAGTAGAAGTATGAGAGAAAGCTCTTTGCATTCATTTCTTCCATGGACATAAAAAGGATTTAGGCATGTTTAATTTAGACTAGATTGCAGTTACTGACTGCAGTTATAGATTTGAGTGTCAAATGAAATGAAGTTATTGTTTTAAAAGCAGCTTTATGTCTTTGCCTGCATTTCTCAACAATGTTTAAGCAGCTCTAACTGCTCTGGTTTGTTTCCTTAACTATGATCTGTAACATTAGAAAAAAAATGGGCTCCCATGGAGAAAATTGTCCGTTTCCTACATTTAAACTGATGTAATTTTACTTCTGGCTTCAAGAAATACAATTGTTTCTTTTGTAGTAAACCAAACGGCGAAGACATCGTTAGCAGTTAATGTATATACTTCAGGGTGTTTTCCCAAGAGGACTGTGGCTTAATTAACTAGTGAGGCCACTTTCCCCCCTCTTTCAGATATCTGTGTATTAAATTCTTTTTAACCAGAGCATCAATTCAAATAAGAAACTACATATCAAGAAAGTACAGTGGGTTATTTCCAGATTTACTTACAACTTATTGGCAGCCCAGCTCACTCCCTAAAAATGCTGTCCACACTGGGAGGGTACCTTGCTGAATAGTGCAAGCTGTGTGGTAGGTGATCAGAGTACATGCTATATAAATGAACATGTGATCAGTATACATGCATTTAACATATCCTGTATATGTGTTGATTCATATACACATTTCTGTCATTCGTGCAGTAAGAAAAGCCCCAATGCACATTGTCCAGTGCACCTGGCAAAATTGGAAAGGTTCTAGTTCCTAGATGCTATGCCAGCAAGCTCTATCCTGATGCCATTAATAGGCAGTAGTTTCAATTAACCTTTTGTTTTTAATGTTTCCATACTGTGGTACCTCCATGAGCAACATTCCAAGCACAAGTTCACTTTGCATGGGAAATCAAGCCCCAACATGTAAGCAGGACTGTCCCTCTATAATGGAAATAGAACCTTGTGGAGAAACCAGATGGTTGTTTTGCCATACTTCTATTAGCTTTATCATCTTTAACAATGCACACCTTATCCCAGCTTAACATCAGTGAAATTCCATGAGGAAGTGGGCCATTTCCATGAGAAAATTCTCTGCCACAGTAAAATTAATGAAATCTGGGTTAGAAAGGAAAGTGGGTTATTTCTCAAACTTTCTGAGATGTTTAGAAATGCATATCTCAATGTAACAGTGGTTAATTCCAAGCACAAGTTCACTTTGCATGGGAGATCAAGCTGTAACCAGTCATAGTCGTAATGTCCCTCCATTCTACCATGGTCAGGTTTCCACATGGCATTTGCATCCGTATTCCTGATTCAGATGGAAGCAATGGGGAAGTGCCAATCTGTGTGGAAACTAAATTGTGTGAAGATAGAGGAGAACACATGGTGCTTAGGAAAGGGCCTACAGCTGACTACAGTGCTATCAAGAGAGCTATCTGGATTTCATGTTTGAGTGACACCCATAATCTGGATACGGATCTTTTTTGTTTCCATTAGTCTTTTTGTTTCCATTACGGTTCAATGGACTAAGTACATGTATCTGGGAATGAGATTCCTTGAACTCAATTATGCTGCTTAGTCAGCTTGCATCAGTCCGTAGTTACTTGCTATTTCTGTGGGTTATATGCACGGGGAAAAATATTTTTTGTTTCTGCAAACCTGAGAGGAAAAACTAAAGGAAAATGAACACCCATTTCATTGGGTCTACAGTGTTTTCTCCAGCACAGAAAAAGCCCCTTGCCTCCTTCCCTCATTTCAAGAACTAGGCTATAGAGTAGTGCCTGCCACTTTCCCGTGAACTAAGCTATGCCTCGCCCCAGTGTAGGAATTCATCTCTTGATGTTCCTGAGGCTCAGGAAGGGGGGGGAAGGAAAATGAAATAATCCAGAGTAACTTTGTAAAGGTATCCTGATATGATTGCACTGGGAACTTGGACTGCCAGAGATGAGTGATGGGCAGAAAAGAGGATACACAAACATTTTCATGTGTCACCCAGAAGGAATGTAATTGCTAAGTTAAGGAAATACAACTTCATTTTACTTCGTAGTTCATTTTATTTTTACAGTAAAAGAAGTTCTCACATCTGTATGGCAAGGAGCTGTGGATTTATAATGTGAATAAATGACTGCATAAAGTATGAAAGATAAAACCAATGTGCCACTTGGACTACTTATTACTGCCTGACATTTCAAAATATCACCTCAGATGCTTGGATCTTAAGGAAAAAGGATTGTACTATTTTTAATCATTTTCCCAATTTTCTGTGTGTGGCACAAAAATGTATTAAAAATGTGCACGACTCTTTAGTCATTTAAGAGACACAGTTGAACAATCACTAATTTAAAATGTCTCTCATTTCATTAGTGAAACTGGGGATGCGGATGTGGTATTCTGGTGGCAACACGACTACTTGATCTATTAGATGACCCAATTATAATCCAGATTCATTAAAATCAGTGAATTATATCACTGATTTAGAACATTAAAGCTGACCTTGGACAATTGGTATTCTTCAACAACTGCATGTGCCACCTTTTAGATTTCAATGGGCTTTACAACTGGCTTTCTTATGTGCCTCATGTTTGCACTAGGCTCGCCTGGTTTAAAAGGAGCCAGTGCTCCATAGGGTCGCGGCAGTGGGAGAACATTCTCTTCATCTGGGATGTAGGCATTGGGGCGTTGTTCAGCAGTGGTATATATACTAGTTGGCAAGGCAGATTGCGCCTCTTCTGCAGCACGCTGTAAAAAAAAAAACACAAAAGGATCAATGGAAGTTACGAATCAAAGTACCGTATTTTTGCCATGTATGATACTTTTGTCTAAAATATTTAGATTAAAAATTGAGGGTTGTCTTATACACAGAAGTAAGGAGGGGGGAAAAGGAGGGGAAGTAAGGAGGGAGAAAATTTTTTTCTTCGCAACGAAAAGGAGGGGAAGTAAGGAGGGAGAAAAAATTTCTCTTCGCAACAAAGTGGAGGGGTAAGGCAGGGATCAGAGAGCTTTGATCCCTGCCTTCCCCTCCACTTTTTGTGAATAAAAATTTTGAGTTAGAAAAGTGGGGGGATCTTATACACGAGGGCGTCTTATACACAGGAAAATATAGCAGTTCTTGTAAGTGCTACAGATCAACAAGACCAATGTATTAATATCCAGACATCAGTTGCTTCTGGCTACTGGGTAACAATGAATAATATCAAGCGCCAGATCTGATGCAAGAGGTTCATTAGATTCCTCTGTGTGTGTGTGTGTGTGTGTGTGTGTGAGAGAGAGAGAGAGAGAGATCCTAATTTAGTTTGGGGAGGTGTTTTTCTCCTGCATCATTTCCTCACTCTTTGCCACTTCCTCAAAATGCATTTGCAAAACCATATCCCTAGTTCTTATTAGTGTGTAGGGACAGAGCTGGGAAGTAAAGAATTTCATTGTAACTCATGTATTCTTTTTGGTGGTGACAGTTAGAAACACTGTTCCATCTATGGCAAAGATAACTAGGCCCATAATTTTTCTTTTTTCATGAAACAAGAACATGGCTGTAGCCTTTATGCACTGCAATCATATAACAGTAGCAATTTGTTCAGAGGGTAAGATGACCAGCACAGTAACTGTTGTGGTCACAGATCTTATTTGTCATATCTACACTGGTCTCAGTAAGGAGGTACAGCAGCATAAGAGCTCTGCTGTGTGGCTTTAATAACAAGAAGATGAGCATTAAAATTGGTAAGTAAAGCTCTACAGTTTTGACTAAGCACCAAAATAAATTTAAGTAGCAGTCTTGCTTCACACCTCATTCAGATTGTATCTGGGATCTCTCTTAGCTGCTCTCCCTTATTACTGGAATAATAACAAGCAGTTGATGTTATTAACAAAGATTTTTAAACAAAATGGGCCACAGCAACACCATAACTGTCTCATGGTGCCCTGCCTTCTCTGAGCCCTCATGGATATCTATGAAATAATTCACATTCACACATTCACCACTGCAAGTCTTGTGGCTGACTGTCTGAATTGTGTCCACTGAGAGTGAAATACAGTGGGGTCTTGACTTGAGAACTTAATCCGTATTGGAAGGCGGTTCTCAAGTCAAAAAGTCTGTAAGTCAAGCCATCTGTAAGTCAAGGGTCCACTGTAGAAGAGAAGCAGTATGAATGTTGTGTTGTTCGGGTTCTTGCTGATGTAGTAAATAGCATTCATAGTACAAGTATCTGTGAGTGAACATTAATTGGGCACGGAAACTATTACATGCACATTTTTGTTCAGTTGTTAAGTCGTGTCTAACTCTTCTAGACCCCATGAACCAGAACACGCCAGGCCCTCCTGTCTTCCACTGCCTCCTGGAGTTTGCACATTACAACACTCATATCTACTGTAACCTGTGCTGTGTGCACTACAGTTCTTGAGAATGACAGGTTACCCACATGTAATCGTACTTCTTCGAGTGGACCTCTGCGATTCACACCATTTTTGGTCAATGATCTTAATGTATTAGTTCAAGTAGAAACTCACTTTTGCCTTGGCTTCGGTTGCTGCTTTATGTACTTCTTCATCACGTAGCACTTTTAACCATTCAATCTCTACTTCCTTAGGAGGCGGAAGACCTTTCTGTAGCCTGGAGCTGATGTACATTACAAACTGCTCTTTGTCTCTCATTTCTTGTTGCAGTTTAATGGCATTGGCCTGATTCATAGACAGCTCTGCAATAAGCGCCATCATCTTTTGGGTGGTGCTTTTTATTTTCTCTTGTAATCCATTCATCTGGAATGAACAGCAGCAACAATAATGTTACCCAGTTCCCCAACAAGACTCTGTACCCCCCCAAATGAAGAAAACCACCCCTTTTTATTGTCACATAGTGCCTTAATTAGTTGATCACTATACAACTATACTGTGAGGCAGAATGTATAGTTCTGTGAAAGTATTATCTACACCTTTCTACTATTTCAATATACATACGATGGGTGTTATCAGATGGGTGTTTGTCCCATGGTTTAGCCAGCTTTGGGGATAGGCTAATTCACTTTTTCCCCCAGTGACCACATAACATATGGGCAGTCATGAACCAGAATGCCCCTTATCTTTGCCTACCTGTGTCTTTTGGGGTCTCTGTTACAGGCTACTGTTTGGTGCTTTTTAAAGTGCAGGCACAATCACTCCTTTTTGGTTCAATTCCGGCATGTGTGATCTCCAGAATCAAACCAAAGTGACTTGCCTACCTACTTCACTGGGAAGAGCAAGAAGCAAGAACTCATTGAACCTATATTACAGGATCAAACCACTTATCAGTAAACTGAAAGTTTTCTCCTGCTCTCCCTGCAGGGAAAACTGAAGAGCATGTGAATGCTGTTGTTTTTAAAGCCCTTTTAATCCACACAGAATTGGTTGTTCAGCAAGCCAAGTCAGTGCTCTATACCTGGAAAAAAATTAATTGAAAGTTTCCTTCCGCTGCCCCACAGAGTGAGTGACAAGAAGGGGATTTTTTTTAAATCTTTCTTCTTTTATATTATGTTATTCTGCATTGTGGGAATTATTTCTATTGGTCTGATGACGTAAAATTATATTCTACTGTGTTTTGTGTTTTGTGAGTGTGAACATTACCGTCCCCACCTGCAGTGGCAATGGCAGGGAGACCCTCATGGTGCATGGTTTCAATGAGTTCCAGGCATTAGGGCTTCAACATCGTCACAAGCCACCCCACATCCTTCAAGGAAGGCTTAAAATGGTCATGAGTGGGCAGAAGTGAGGGCTGGGTGCCCCACTCTACACTAGGGTCTCCATGGGGTGCACTGCTGTGGATGATGCCAGTGGGCTAAACAGCAGTGCCCTGCTGCCACAGTCTCTCCCCTTGACCAGAGTCACTTCCACAAGCACTATTGTTCAGGGTTTTCAACATCCATATAGAGCATATTTCTGGTGGCATGGAAAATAGGATCCAGCTCCTCTCCAATCTCTCCCCACTGCACAGCCTCATACACTGACATGATCTCCATGGCAGTGTCTTCCTCCTCTTTTATCCCTCCCTCATGCCCACAAGATGCAGCCCCCACCACCTCACTTATCATACTACTACTACTACTACTACTACTACTACTACTACTACTACTACTACTACTACTACTACTACTACACCCCCCACACACACAAAGGAAAATAACAATAAATGGAAATGAAGGAAAAATAAATCTTCAACCACATTTCTCCCAATTGAAATAGCTGCCTTGATACTAGCATTCCCTTCCAACTTTAACTATTTGTACAAGACAAATGTGTGATCTTCAAAACGTAAAGGAAGTTACAGGTTCAAGTAGTGTTTGAATGAACACTGAACTG